GTGGGACAAAGTTTGCTTTGTGTGATACCACACTGTCACGGAGAAGTGATGAATTGTGGGTGTCATTTTTAAAATCCAGTTACAAACAAGCATCTCTACAAGCACTCCAGTCTCTCAGATGAGATAATGTCTAGAAATGTAGCCACAGAGAGATGAGTGAGAAGCCAGTCAGTCACAGAGAAAACTCAAAATATCTTCTTGATACCTTATCATCCATATTTCTTGACTTGGTTTTAAACTTTTCCTTATCTCAATTAGTCCATCCAAAAATTGATTGTAATGCTGCACCATTTGCATGGTTTTAATAATTTACTCAGGTATTTCATGTGCAGTGCTCATCATACACTATCAATTATTATTATTTGATGTCTATGATATCTATTACCTGAATTTGACCCACCAATGTTAGCAAAAAAGAAAATTATTTGTAACTAGTATACAAAACAGTTGGTATCATTGTGATGTCTTCACCCATGCAAACCATATACTTTACTTATTCTCATGCCCCATCTCTTATTAGCTCCCTTCTTCCCCACTAATGGTTCACCCTCAAAGGGTTATTTGAAGGCAGTTAGATCATGTTAGTAAACAGAGAAATGAAGACCAAACCAAAGAGGAAGAAATGGAGGCAGTGGGGGATAATATCACTTTGAGAGCTGAGTTGTAGGTGATCGCAAAAACAAAATACAGACTAGGGGAGAGGAAAGAGGAAAATGTCCCAAGAGTCCCAAGAGCTATCATGGGATAGATACTACATCATGGCAGACCTAGCTCTTGTTTTCCCCAATAGAAAGAGCCTCCATGTGCTCTGACCTGTGAAGCCAGTATTTCAACAAGACTTTATCCAGAGGGAAAGAGGAACACCTATTGTTCTCTAGGAAGGTGCCTCCTTTGTACCTAGGTACCAGCGTTGATGGGTTTGCAGCAAACTCATGCTTGCTATGGTTTCAGTGTGTATGCCTGCCATGATCTGTATGACTCTGGACTTGGCCTGACTGGTATAATAAGGAGGGCAGGCACATGTCAGAAAGGCTGGGACTGGGTGGGCTATGCACTCCGATGGAGATGCACCAGGAGCCTGGAAACTCAGTGGGTTTAATTTATGTCTCTAAACAAGATTTTTTTATGGCATGGACATAAAAAACAAACATGGAGGTGGATTTATGGTACATGGCTAAATAAGGAGGTGGGTTCATGGTGTGTGGTTGAACATGGAGGTGGGTTAGAACAAGGAGGTGGGTTATGGTATACAGATGAACAAGGAGTCTGGTTTAGCTGGTCTTGGTAGAGGTCTCTGTAGTGAGTAGTCTCACATTGTAGTTTGTAGTCATACAGGAGGAGGAAACTGTGATTGATCATTTCTGTGCACTCTCTCAACATTTGTACTCAGACAAGGGGAAGGCCTGGACATTCCCTTAAGCCTGATAGAGAGAAGGCCCTGCCATTCCCAAAGGTGTGAGGCATTGGGATTCTTGACACAGCCCATGTCCATGTCAAAGAATACACATTCACCCCTTACTTCATCTATTTCCCACATAGCCCCAAAGTTTGTGTGTTGGAATCTTAATCTTTCAGTGTGGCAGTGTGGAGAGGTAAGTCAAAGAATGGAACACTCATGATAAAATCAATGCCTTCCACGTGGACCTGGGTTAGTTTTCCTGGTGGTGGGACTTGTAGCTTTCATGCTTCTGGATCAGTCCCCACTAGAGTGAGTTGTTATAGAGGGAGGTTCTTCTCTTACCTTGTCTTATTACAACACATACTTGTACTCCCTTTTTTCACCATGAATTCCAAGCAGTAGGCTGCCAACATCATGCTTGGACCAAGAGCCTAAATATACTTCTTTTCTTCATAAGTTCCCAAGTCTCGGTATATTCTGTTACAGCAACAGAAAGCTGGTGAAGACCATGTACTGGGAGACTTCCAGGCTAAGAGCTCAAAGACTTCCTCAGGATTCCTTTACTCTTGTGGCACTCTAAATCATCAAGAAAAACTGATTCTCAGATTAGAAACATGTGAACAATTACTCAGACTGTTTCTAATGCAATCACACCATTTTTTCATGATTTTCTTATTCTAAATATTTTTTCCAAGGATGTTATACAAACAGACTTCTCAGGTATAATAATTCAGAAGGGTAGCTACATCGATAAACCAATGAGTGACCAGCTGAGCTTGCATGTCCAGAATTTGATGTCTTCAATTCAATGTTTGCTGTTTTGATTTCAATAGTGTAGCAATGTCCTGATATGTATTGAACAAGAATGCCTTTTAATTCTGTTTTCTTTTTGAAACTTATTTTTACATTATGTACATTACTTGAATGCATGTCTGTTTATCACATGTGTACCTGGTCCCTGAACAGGAGAGAAGAGGGCATCTGAAACTAATGTCACAAATGGCTGTGGTTATGGGTGCTGGGAACAGAGCCTGGGTGACCAGTGCTTCTAACTACTGAGCTTTTAGCTACTGAGCCACCTCTTCAGCCCCAATTACTCTGTGGGTTTAAAAAATTATTCTATTTTTATTTATGTGTGTTTGTGTGTCTTTGCACTTGTGTGGGGCACCCTAGGAGGTGGAAGAAAATGTCAGATCCCCTGGGGCTAAAGTTACAGGCAGTCATGACCTTCCTAATGTGGGTTCTGGGAGCCAAACTCTGATCAATAGCAGCAAGCACTCTTAACCCTTGAACCATCTCACCTCTAAGTTCCCATTTTACACTGGAAAAACTGAACTGGTAAGTTACTTGCTTGCCTCTTTGAACTGTATATAAATGGTATCTTGACCTCTGGCCAGCTTTACAATCCAAGGCTGTCCTTTTTGAGGACCTAAGAAGCATCTCTGAAGTAGGGGAAAGTGTTCCCAGTTCTAGGTCTCTGACAACACAGACATTGAGTAGCATTCACAAAGAAAAACACTTGAAAACTCAGAAGTGACCCAGTGCACTGGATAGATCCCATGGACCAATGTCTCTGACAATATCATCCAGAACTTTTCCACTAACTCAGCCCAGTTTAAAAATTCTCCTGCTTTGGTTCAATGGAGTTGAGCCTCTCTAGTCTGCCACAATTGTCTTTAAAGTCTTCCTGGTCTGTGTAACTCTGACACATTTCCTATGGTGATATAATTAGTGGGCAGACTGAGTTTTGCTACGCACACTTAGGGATGAGTTTAATAGAGTGTCTTTGATCATAGTATAATGTCATCACTATGGCGCTTTACTACTTCTCTTCTGAACATGTAACTTTCTCTAATGTGTTTAATTCTCATCCTTTTGTTTTTAAGGGATTCTTGACTGCTGTGAAGGGCTGTGTTTTTAAGATAATAAAAATGTGCTATAGAAATAAGAGTGAATTATACAGACAAGATGATGTTTTTATTTTACCCAAAAAACCCAAAAGATCTTGTAAACAGGCAATAAGAACAAAAATGGGGTTTTGAAAATGAATGTTCCTGTACAGAAAAATGGAAGCCACTCTAAGACAAAATTTATATGTTAGAATAAATATTGTATTAAATAATAATTGTGATGCTAATTATAAGAAAAGGCTGTTTTCAGATTCTAGAATGAAAAATTTTTCCTCAGAATATATTTCTTTGTCTAGTTTTGGTATCAGGATCTCATAAAGTTACTTAAGAATATTTCTGCTCTTCTGTGTTTTGGAAGGTCTTACTTAAAATTTGTATTATTGCTTCTGATAAATTTCGTTAAAAATTCACCATAAGGTCATGCAGACTTGTGGTTTCTTTTATGAGAGGTTTTAAAGTACAAATTGAACTTTTCTGAGTCCACTTGAATGTGAAAATTTTAAAAAAAATATTTTCAGTACCAAATACTGGCAAAGATTTGGAAAGCAACTGGGATCTTCATATGCTGCTGGCAGGAACATGGGATTGTACAGACAGTATTGAAAATAGCAAAGCAGTTTCTTATAAAGTTAAACATTACAGTCAATACGACCCAGTAATTCCTCTCCTCTCCCAGTAATTACCCTAGTATTAACTTCACAAATATTTCCACTCACATATGTGAATTACGATTAAATGAATGTATCAGTATCACTATGCTGAAGGAAAGGAAGCAGACACAAACATCAACTTTACACTATGATTGCATCTATGTGAAATTCTAGCAGAGGCTAAATTATAGTCATTGAAGGTTGATCTGTGATTGCCAAGGGCCAGAAGTCGAAAGGAAATATACTGCCAAAAGGCCCATGGGAACTTTGTGTTAGGATAGAAATATTTTATACATGATTTTAGTGGTGATTTCTATTCCTATACCTGCAGTTCTCAAAAATGCCTTTATGAAACTCACCACAATATACAATGACTATATACCAATACCCTTTTTTAAAATAAATAGTCAAGTTGTATATTAAAGTTGGTGAGTTATATGCAAGTTATGCCTCAGAGATAGATTACTTAAAAGACAAGGCCAAGACAGACATCATATAGCCACCTCATATCCAAGGAGGAGGAAAATGAAATGGGGAAAGCTGCTGCGACACCTAGAAAAGATAACAGGTTCAGGAAACTGGATAGTCTGAGCCACTTTTATACCAACGGACCACACTCCTGGGTCAGCACTGGAGTTGAAACCGAATGACAATCCATCCCACTGGGTTCCATGATCACCCTTAGTAAAAAGGCATTGACACTGGTACATACAAAATGGAACAGTGGAATTCTACCCAAAGGAAAATGGGTCCTGTTACCACAAGAAAACAGAAAGTGTTTGGAGGGGGGACAAACTAAAAAATATTCTCTTCAAGATAAAATAATAAGTATGTTTAAATTAATTTCATAACAGAAGAGTCGGATATTTAATGCTTCATCTCTGAACAGAATTAACCTTGAGGCCACCAAAGGAAGCGGCATTACTTGGGCAAGATCCCGGGGTTTTCACATAGCATCTGACTCTAACAGCATTCCTGTTTAATCTCTCCATTTCATGACTTCAGTTCTCTCAAGCATTTTCTTCACCCTGTGTCTTTGACTTACTCAAAATGCTGGCAGCATTTTCCAAGCATTTTTCTGATAGCTGTCGTCACCTCCTTGTTCTTCAGGCTGTAGATGAGAGGATTCAGCATGGGAGTGATGACACTGTACTGCAAAGAGAAGATTATTTCCATGGGAGAGCCCGAGGTGGGCATGGTATAGCGCAGGCAGGCTGACCCAAAGTACAAGATCACTATAGTGAGGTGAGAGGAGCAGGTGGAGAAAGCCTTGCTTCTGCCCGTGGTGGAACGCATGTTCAGGATTGTGGAGAAAATGCAACCATAGGAAGATAAAACCAGAAGAAAGGTTCCGGAAGCATGTATAACAAAAGACCAGAGCAAGACAGTGGCATTAGTGGAAACATCAGAGCACGAGAGAGGGAAGAGGGAAGGAATCTCACAGTTGTAGTTATGTATGGTTCCATAGTCACAAAAGTCCAAATTCACAGCTAGGAGGGTATTAATGAGTGAGTTCAGTATGGCCAGGCCCCAGGATCCAAACACAAGGCCCTCACAGAACCCGTTGCTCATCATCTGGCCATAGAGTAGAGGATGGCAAATGGCTGCATAACGGTCATAGGCCATGACTGCAAGAAGCAAGGCCTCAGTGCCTCCGATGGCAAACACAAAGAAGGCCTGGGCCAGACAGCCCTTCACAGGGATTGTTTTTGACTTAGCCATTAGATTTTCTAGCATCTTGGGCACAGAGACTGTTGAATAAGAAAGATCCACAAATGAGAGGTGACCAAGAAAAAAGTACATCGGTGAACGGAGGTGAGCATCAGCTATTATCACTAGCAGAATCACGGAGTTCCCTGTCAGGGTCAGGACATAAATCACAAGGAAAATCACAAAGAGTGTGGCTTGGATCTGAGCATCAGCAGGCAGCCCAAGAAGGATGAACTCAGAGACAACACTCAAGTTTCCCATAGCTGTGTAGTGCATCTTCCCTTGGAATCTGAAAAACAAAAGCAATAAAACAACAAAACCTCCTCTTACGTGATGACTTCTCTTCTTCAAATAAATAATTCCCTCATTATCCCAGAATCCAAATTTCATTGACCGTTGGTCCAGATGTGATATTTTAAATGCCACACATTTGTTATCAGGCTGGCCAACTGCCCACATTGGCCATTCTTACCTTACTGACATGGGCTATTGGGCCTTTGCTGTTTTCAGATTTCTTTAGGTCTTTGGTTCTTCTGAAGAAAACGGGGATGTAAAAAATAACACGGATGAAGAATAAAAACATTAGTGGATCGAAAAGATTAGAATTCTCAGTTCAGCTGAAGGGTCACTGTGGTCATGGGAAGAGCCTAGTAAAGAATGAAGAGAGAGATTTTAAAAATATTTGGATGGTGGTCATATCAGCATTGCAGCAACTAGGGTATAGTGGAAGTCTCTTTGGAAAAAAGATAATGAACTTCCTGATCAATTATTGGCCTTCAATGTTCTAAGGATACACTATTAAAAGAAAATTAATGTGAAAGAATGAACAAACAAGAAACACCTGGAAGAAATCAGATACAAGATGTGTAGTTGTAGTCATAGAGATAATTATAGTTCCTTATTACAATTTTCTCTTGCTCTGGTTGGCACTCAGATATAGATATCTAGCTCAGAGAGATTGCTTCATTTCAGCATCACAAATGCTCCTCACACTTTTAATCAATAGAGGTCAAGGCACTATATGAGGTCAGAGTTGGTTGGCTTCCATAGGACTTATGCATTTTCTGTAGGTTCTATATAAGCAAAGGAAACACTTAAAGAGCATGTTTTCCAGGAGTGGTTTACTAACTCATGAGTAATGGTTTGCCCACAATGCCTTGCTTCCCATCCTGAGATAAGCTCTTTATCTTCTGATGATAGGAGAAAGCACTTGGTAGATAGTAACACCAATAAATCTTTTCTTCCGAGTACAGAGACCATGGTGCCTGGGAGTCAGGAAGGAAGCTACACTGTTGATGGAGTTTCAGACACTTCAGCAAAAAGAAGTGCCCCTCCCAAAGTTAGCCCCAACTGCAATCACCAGGGATGCCTTGCTTTATAGAAATATTTCTGATTTTAGAAATTAAATTGAAAAATAAACCTCTTGCGTGTGTGTATGTGTATAATTGCACACACCTATGCCCACACAGAGCCCAGAGGAGGATTGAAGTGTGTGCTCTGTCACTTTCTGCCTTGTCCCTTGAGATAAGGTTCCTCATTGAACCTGGAGTGAGATTAGTGGACAACAAGCCCCAGCCACCCTCCTGTCTCCCTGACCCCTGTTACCAGTTCTAGGGTTACAGTCACTCCTTTCCGCACTTGGCTTTTTACATGAGTCCTGGAGATTAGAACTTAAGTCCTTACATTTGTACAAAATTCTCTTTACCAAGAAAAAAATAAAGCCTGTTTTTATGGTGGTTTCATGTGAAATATGGAAGGATAATTAATGACATTATCAAAGGTCCTCACAGAGGGTTTTGTCTTTACTAGAAGGGTCCCAGAAGGGCTAGAAAGATGGTTCAACATTTAAGGGTGCACACTGCTCTTGAAGATGACACACTTCAGTTCCCAGCATCCACACTGGGCATCTCACTCCAGATATGACACCTTCTTCCAGTTTCTGTGGGCCCCTCACACATTTAATACACCTACACAAACACACATATGTATAGCTTAAACTAAAATATATTTAATAGGGTCCCAGAAAACAAAATAATATTTCTATAATAAAATACCTTATTTTCTTTCTTAGTGTTCGAAATCACACTGGTTTTAGTCATTGCTTTCTACAGACTCTAGAGGAACCAAACTTGAAGAAGTATAATAAAATGAGATTAGTGGAAACTAAATGCTATGCATTTATTGGAAAATGCTCAAGGGATTTCTTAGGATAACTTCTCCCAGAATTACACAAGAAATGAAAACCTCCTCACAGAAGATACTCTAAAAGTTGTATTTGAAACAAGTAAAGAAAGCACAGTCCAGAGAGTCAATGCCTGTGTGGGAACCAGCGGGTTAATTGGGGGGCCTTCGGCCAATGTCTTCCCCGATCTCTAGAATCATGACAGACTTCCAGCTTTAGAAGCTGGAGGGAAACTTAAGAAGTGAAGGGAACTTAAGGTTGAAGGGCCCCGGAAATGACCCTCACTGCAGATTTTGTCTTGACAGTGTCTGCCATGCCCGTACTTACAGAGGTGGGAGGTGGCTCTAATGACGAAGTAAACAACTCTCAGGAGCTTGTAAACATGGCTTGCTGGATTAGGAGATCCAGAACAAGGTGATTAAATTTTATTCTTTATATCTTCATGGCTCCCTAGCCTTACCTCAGCAGCTCTGGCCCGGCTTCCTGGCTTCCTGAAGTTTCTAGAAAATCCTTGGATGTTCTGATCCAGAGATGAGGCAAGAGAGGATCAGAACAGAGATAAAGGGGCACTGGGAAGAAAACATCAAAAATCATTTAACCACTGTGAGGTGTGTGTGTGTGTGTGTGTGTGTGTGTGTGTGTGTGTGTGTGTGAGTGTGAGTGTGTGTGAGTGTGAGTGTGTGTGTGTGTG